CAAACTGTAGTTGCGGTTTTGTGTGTAATCCAATCTGTACTGTCTTGCGATTGGTGGTCTAACTGTGTGACGACAATCTGTTGAAATTTTTCTCGATGAATATTGCTTTTCAGCTTCCACGTTTTGATTCTCCGAGGCATTTGTTTAGACTTATGTTTTGACAGTTCGACAACCAGGTCTGCCACAAGGAGTCTATGTTGGGCGACACATGATTCGCCAGGTATAACTTTGACATTTTTGAATATTTTAATTGCTTAAACTTGTAAATAATAGATAGATTTAATAAAATAATACTTGAATAATAAAAAATTTTTTGCATGGGGTGTTTTTTGGGGGAGTTTGTCCAGGTAGTTTTATGTCCTGGGGAGTTTTGTCTTAGCATGATTGATAACAAATTTTATTTTGTTTCAGTGGTTCAAATGCGCGCTGAGCCAAACATTTCAATTGTATACTCAGCGTATTTAGTGCGGTGCTTGCATAAATATGTGTACGTCGCGTGAAAAAGATTAACAGCCTTTGTGTTGAAGATGGCTGCTTCAAATCAATAGATGAAGATAAAGATATAGAGATAAAATACATGTTACAATGTTCTATGTTCCGCGTATGTCAGAGCTGCAAAAATAACGAGTAAAAAAGTTCTACAGACTTAACAAAAATGCCTGGATAATATCAGAATAGTGCAACAATTGAACACAGCTGGAAAAGCAAACAACTGAAGAAAACAATTAACAACAAGCAATTATTCTAAGGCAAAGATGATGATGATTAAAATAAATTAAAAATTACAGTAATTGAATTTTTTCAATTATTCCATGTGGTATTTGCTATTCTAAAAAATTATTTAACAATACTAGGATGAAATTATTAAAATGTTTCCAACTTCTCCATTTGGTTTATACAAGTTTATGTGATGATCCGTATCTTTTGCAGTTCCAAGAACCCCTAAAATTGATCCATCGTTATTCCATTTGCAGTGAACTAGCAATTTGAAACCAGTTGTTAGAACATAAGGATCTTGATAAAAAATAAATAAAAATTTTCAACTTTATTAAAATTTTTAGTATAATTTCAACAGAAATAAAAACATTAACATTTAACAAAAATTGTGTTCCTTACTTAACAACACTTATGCATTAAAGAGCAATAGTAAAAAACAACTACAACGGCAATAGAATCAAAATAATAATTACAACAATGCAATTACTTTAATACATAATCAATTACAGTTTCTCTAGATAATGAAAAGCAATTTCAATCAGGAAAAAGAAATAAGAAAGAATGACTATTAAGTTAGCTCAATCACCAAATGAGATCTGTCGGTAAAACTTCAATATTACATTATGGCCTGGTTCAAATACTCTCTGTCCGAAACTATCAAAAACTATCATACAATTATAATGCGGTGCTTGCGCGTGTATACGTAATGTATATGCGCGTGTATACATAATGTATATGCGCGTCGTGAGGTTTGGATAGCACAGCCTTTGTGGCAAAAAAGTTTAAACACGTTCATAAGAGCTGCATCATTTAAAAAAAACACAAGATGGCGGAAAATCTTAAACATCCTCAACTTGAAGAAAAGAAAAAATGATGACAAAACGTTCACATAACGCTCGAAACAAAAAATCAATAAACTCAGTGAATTATTAAAGAAAAACTATAACTTCAATCAAACTTCAAACAATTTGCCACAACCACATTTTTCATATACAGTTACTATCACAACCATCATTTTCATACGAACAATTATTAACAAGTATAAGATCACGTTTCACCTAGTAACTATAGCACACCATTTACTCTAGCTTTTACATTTGCACCACATCACGATCAACAATAAATCCATCTATCGCACCTTCGGATCTTTTAAACATTACCCGTCACAGTTACAAGCACCGAAATGAGTTTTTCAAAGTTAAAAATAATAAAATCAAATATGCCAAAATCGTTCGATTGGCCTTATTACTAATCGAAAAACAAATTGCTGATCAATTATTAAAATTCATTATTAGATACAGTTTATATAAATTATAATCTAATAATTTGTTAAAGTGTTTTTTAATATGAATCAATTTATTTGTGAAAAGTTTGTTTTCAAATGATTTTTCATAAAAAATTAAAAAGTAAAATGAGATTAAAGTTAAGATAATCAGATTTTGTTTTAATTTTCAAATAAAAAATTATTTGAAAAAGGCGGCAGCTATTCAACCCGTCACAAGACAATTATGCATTTTAGCTAAGTTGTGAAACAATTTGTTATTAGATTATCAGATTTACATCGATGTTTACAAAAGGAACGCACACAGATTGTAATAGTTATGTTCGCAATTGCAAAAATTCTTTGGCGTTGAAAGTGTATCCGCTAACATTACAAGAGATTGTTGATAAACTTTTTAATAAGTATATTCCAAAATATGGAAAATAAAATCTATATTATCTGATTTTGATATAGACAAAAATCTCACATTTGAAAAATTTTATACATCAAGCACATCAAAACTAGTGCATACTCACAGCAAGTAAACAGCATCAATTTGGCTTTTCATGTACAAAACTTATGTGGCTACCTAATTTAAAACTTTCTAATATTTTCTATGGTAAAAAAATGAATCGTTTTATAAATGTCGCTAATGAAAAACAACCTGACATTGAGCCCTTATAAATCAAGAAACGAAAATTAATTAGAAGTTCCGATAAATTTATAGGAAGCAGAGGTCTGGCTACTTAATGAAAGAAAAGTAGAAAAAAACCCTATCTAACAAAATAACGTTGGTTCATTTGGTTAATTCATCATAAAAAAGAAAAAGGCTACAATCAAGCCATATCTGGTACCACGTCGTCAGTCGACGACATATCAAATTCCAGAAACATGTCAAACCGTTCATTGATGGTTAGGCTTAGGTCCTAGTGATGATGCGGTAACGTGATTGGAAAAAAGTCAAGGACTCAAATATGATGTCAATAAATGATGACGTCTCCACTATTTGCCAGTCTTAATAATTAGGCCACAGCATGGAACAAAGCACCCTCACCTCAGAAACCGTTATATCATCTTAAACCGTCACTAAGTCCAACATCTTTAACCGTCACTAAGTCCAACAAAATGCTGCCAGATTCATGATTTTAGCCGATAAATTGCTACATTGAGTTTTTGAGTTGATATTAGTTTAATCAAACAGGCCAGTACTAAAAACGTTTCCAAACGGCGGCCAAGTTTATAACTTGAGCAATTTATTATAAACTTGCGTGTGATACTTTTGCATTCCATCCCATTCACTAAAACAAAAGTGCCAAGATTCTTCACCATAGTCAAATAATTGCCTTTAATTTTTTTAAGTTTTTTTAATTGTCGTATCGTTTTAAAAATTGTTTTTTCTAGAGCATTTTAGTATTTAAATTGTTATATTTTTACATTTTTAAGCTTTTCACGTTGCTTTTCACATAGATGAAACATCATTATATCTGTTCAAAAAATCTGAAGCTCATTAATTTTTGCATTAGGTTTAATGGGTTTATAATACAAAAACTAAATATTTAAATGTTCTGTTGACGTCAATTTATGTAAAAACTTCATTTAAACCCATTGAAAAATAAATGATCTCCAGTGGTAATTATGTTAATTAATATGTTAATTAGTGCAGTGAAAATATGTTAATTAAAATAAATAAAATTCCAGTGCAGCCAAATGATATTTTCATAACCAAAAAGTATAAAAAACGTGCAAAATTCTATTTCATACTTTTAACCTTCGTCATCCTCATTTCTTAGTAAAACACAAGTACCATCTTTATAAGCAATTACTAAAGATGGAGATTTTCCAAATAAACCATTCTGGTAAAACCAATCCATTGTTACAAGAGCTGATTTTGTTCTGTGTGAAACAAAGTTAGGAATTCTTTCTGCATTAAAAAAAATTAATAACATTCAATATCTTTTAAACTTTTCAGCATTGCATTACATTTACCATAA